CCCGATCTTTGCACGTTATCTTATCCTTCATGCTTTTGATTCTTCCTCGCTCTGAAGTCTCTGAAGAAAACGAGGTGGCATATTGATTCAGTCGTTAGACCACCGTTCCGTCATCGTTCCTGCAAGTGGCCCACCCATTCCCCCCCCTTCCCCATTTTATCATAGAAACAAAGAAATAGAGGGGTCTCCCAGGCCATCTAGTCTGACCTCAACTCCAGCCAGCCCCACTCACGACATGCCCACCATGTGGACGTCCTGCCCATCCTTGAACACCCGCACCGATGGGGCCTCAACAACCTCTCGTGGAAGCCCATTCCACACCCTCGGGGTCCCGACTGTCGGGAAGTGCTTCCTGGCATCCAAATGGAACCTCGGTTCCTGAGCTTGGCTCCGTTGAAGCGCATCCTGCCCTCCTCTGCAGGGGAGAACAGGTCTCTCCGCACCTCCATGTGATCTTAGTTTTCTTGACATGGCGTTCCAAGCCAGTTTTTGTGATCTCCTCTTTTACCTGGAGCCTTAGAATAACTAAATCCAAGTCCGCATCTTGCACGGAGCAAGCCAAGGTGAGCAGCACATATATCGAAGTGTGCAAACGGCAGCATTAGAATGTAAACAACCAGCTGCTAATGTCAGTGCCTTGGAATTGTCCAGGGGAGCCTTAACCAGAAAGCTCCCGTGTTCCACCTTCCATTCTGGTGAGGCCAGAAAAGGCTCCAGGGAATTATTAGATGGTGCTGTTGCTGCCTGTCAGGGCTGGGCAATTGGCCGTGCCTGTTTTGCACAGGAGCATGCAAAACGTAAATCGAAGGGGTGGGAGGAACAGAATTGTGGGCTCAGCCTTCTGCGTGTTGGCGTGCCCAGCCCGCCTGCGAGCGGCAACCGTGTGCTGTCTGGAGGGAGCGCTCCCCGCGCACCCCTAGCAAGGCGGCGTGTCTGGGCTCTGCCCGTGCGGACCCGGGAGCAGCCGCCCTTTGAGCCCGCCAGCCCCACCCCGGAGGAGGCGTCCGGGTCCCTCCTGTGGCCAGCACCTGCTTCTGCTCCCATCTCCCCAGGTCCTCGTGCTCCTGGCCTTTTGGGCGGCCAGCCCCTGCCGGGCGGAGTGGGTGGGCCTCGAAACCAGGACCTGCAGCTTCCGAAGCGCAGACCGACCCCAGGTGAGCCGAGGCTGTTCCTCTGCCGCCCCTGGGCAGCTGCGTCCCCGGGAAAGACGCGGGCTTGTCAGGCGGAAGCGACAAGCGCTCCGGGTCTTGGGGCCCTGCGGGGGGCGGGGTCCCGTGTGCATCCATGTGGGGGCAAGTCTGGCCGAGTTGCCCGGAGGTGCCTCTCGCGGGCTGCCCGCAGCGGCTGGGGATCCTTGGCACGCTTGGAGGGGGAGCTGCGCGCGCCCGGCCGAAGCCATGGCGAATCCGGCAGCCGGCTTCCTTGCCCCCCCCACCCCCCCGTCCCGGAGAAAGAGCTGGGCGGGAGCTCCTGGCGGGGGGGACCTGCCCGCCGGCCAGGCCAGCGGGGTGCAGGGCTGCTGCTCTGTCTCCGCCCAGGGAAGCGGTACCAGTGCTCGGGGGACGGGTGCCGGCTGGCCTGCCGCAGCATGAAGGAGCTGCTGGACCACATGCGTGTCCACTACCGGCCCACGCAGTCCGTGGAGGGTAAGCGCGCCCCTCGGGGTGGGGGGCGGAGGGCAGGTTGTGCACCCCCCACCCAGCTTTCCAACTCTGCAGGGGCAGGAGCCTTGGGAGCAGCCTTGCCTGGAGGCGAAGCCTCCTGCCCTGGCCAATCTAGGCCAGTAGTGCAGGCACTGGCTGGCAGCTCCTTCCATCGGGAACGTGTGGTGCCACCTTCTGCGCCAGACCATCGGATTGCCAGTGCTGCCTGGCAGGCCTCCTCGCCTTTCGTGTGGGGCATCTCTGTGGGGCTCTGCCGCTGAGACGTGGGTCCCAGTGATGAGGGGTGGGCAGCTCATGACCCGCCCCCACAGCCGCCGGTTGCACGGTGGCAGGGAGCTGCTCGTTGTGCCTGGGTCCCAGCAGAGCTGCAGGCTTGACGTGGTGTGGGGACAGGATGCAGCGAGAGCGTGGGGCAGGGGTGTACGCACGCAGCCCTGGCCAGCGCTGTGCCTCCCCGCCGGTAATTTGTGGGGCAGAGGAAGGTGGGTCAAGCGAGCGACCCCGAGGCCGCTGAGCCGCTGCTCCCCCTCCAGGCAAGGCCTTCCGTTGCTCGGCCCACGGCTGCGCGGAATCCTTCCCGGACATGCAGGCCCTGATGGGACACGTGAAGGCGCATTACAAGCTGAACCGCTACTTCAAGTAAGGCTCCCGCCGGGCGGCCTCGCCGATCCAAGGCACGTGGCGCTGGCGTCCTGCGCGGTGGCCGGAACGGGTCGGCTGGCCGATCCCACTCGCCCGGCCCGGGGCACGTGCTAAGCGATGCGGGCGGACCACCACGGGCACGCAGGAGTGCTGCGCGGTCCTGGCCGGGGGAGGCGGGGGCTGTGGGGGGCCGTCGCCACCGCCCGCCCAGACTCTGCGGCGAGGCGCCTCAGACGGGTCATGCGCTCTGCCCGCTCCAGGTGCGAGAACTGCATGTCGCGCTTCCAGACCTACCGGTCCCTCTTCAAGCACCTGCACAGCTGCACCGACTCAGCCACCAGCAGCCCCTCCCCGGCCCCGGCGGCGGAGAAGCCCGTCTCCGTGCCTCCCCCCGGCCTAGAGGGGGATCCTGTGGGGACACCACCGGAGGAGCTCCCGAAGCTGCAGAGCAGCGTCCGGCAGAACGCCCTCCTCCCCGGCCCCATGGAGGCCGCTCTGGCCGCTGACCCGCTGCCGGCCTCCCTGCGCGGCGCCCTGGAGTCCGTGCCAGCGCTGGCCCACTCATTCCCGCTCCTGGAGCAGCCCCTCTTTGGACCGCCCTCCCTGGCAAGGTTCTCCGGGCCACCTCCGCCCCCGGTGGCTGGGCCCTTCCTGCCCTTCGTGCACTCCACGACCTACGGGCTACCTCAGGCCGCAGTCCAGAGCCGCCTCCGGCCGCTTCTGCCCGCCCCAGGCCTCCCCGTCTCCAACGCCGTGTGGAAGAAGAGCCAAGGTGAGCGCTGCACCGGCTGGCGTTCCCCGCAGGTGGGCCCGGCTGTCCCGGGCTCTGCAGCCCGCCGGCTGCGTCGCCTCGCCCCTCCGTGCCCGCAGCCCCAGGACCGGCTGGTGCAGCCCAGGGCTTTGGGCTCTGAGGCATGGGAGGGGGTTCCAGTCCTCAGGAATGCAAGGCGCAGCCCCACTGGGGGGAATCAATCCGGTGTCGGGCCTGGTGGCGCCTGCGAAAGGAGCGCGATGCACACACAGTCAGCCCCTGAGGCGAGGGGCTTTGGGCGACCCCTCCCGGTCCGTGTTCGGGATGTCCGGCCTGGGAGCAGCGGGCGGAACCGGGTGCCCAGCCGCGGGGAAGCCCCTCGGCCCGCCTCACGTGGGGCCGGCCTCTGGGGTGGGGCTGGCCGGGCCGGAGCCCTCCCAGGGCAGGCTTCGGGTGCTTGGCCCACGGGGGCGCGGGGGATCGCGGGCCAGGCAGGCAGCCGGGCGCTCTTGCGGGCCGGCCTGCGCCCGAGGGCGGGGGAGAGGGGCTCGGTGGGGCCAGTGAGCCTCCGTTTCCGCCCCGACGGCAGGGCACTCCTCCAACAGCCGCATCGTGTGGGAGCACACCCGGGGCCGCTACACCTGCATGCAGTGCCCGTACTCCACGGCCTCGCGGGAGGAGATGACCCAGCACATCGACGACCACCGCAAGAACCCGTCCCCACCCGGCCGCCTGGAGGCTGACGCGGGTAAGCGCTGCCGGGGCCCCGGGAGGGGGCGAGCGTCCTCCGGCCCGGTCTCGGCCCACGGCTGGAGGGGCCGCTTCCGGGGCAGCGGGGCCAGGCACCCGGCGTGGCCTCTCTGGGCGAGTCCGGCTGCGGCCTCCAGGGCCCCGGGCCCCGCACAGGCGCAGGCGGCAGTGGCTCTGGCGAAGGGCAGGGCTGCTGGCCGGTCCGTCTCGGGCCGAAGCACGGGAATCCAGGTGGGGCGCCTGGCCGCCTTGGCACGAGGGCCCTGCTGGAGACGTGGGCCGGGGCCGGGGGGGGGAGGAGGCCGTGCCCGAGCGCCCTTCCTGGCCGTGACCCCTCGTTCCCCCCACGCAGAGCCCAGCACTGTGCTTCCCTCGCTGCCCCCGAAGCTGCCGCCCGAGGTGGAGGGCTCCCTCTTTCCCGCGCTGTGAGGTGCCCGGGGCTCCGACCAAGATCCCTCGATTACGCCCCCACCCCTGCCGAAGGTGAGGAGAGGCTGCTTCCAAAAATCAGCGCGTGACCCCCTCGCACCCGCAATCTCACAAATGCGTGCTGACAAGCAGATGCCACGGGGCGGGGGGGGCGGGGGGGCTTGAAACTTATGGATAATTTAAAATCGGAATCATCTTCCTTCGCCCTCCCTCCTCTTAAACTCTTGTGTGAGGCAAAAGCTCTCCGGTCTGCACAGCTGTTGATCAGGTTTGCCCACGTTTGCGAGTGGGCGAGTGCTGCTTTTTTTGGGGGGGGAACCACACAAATAAATAGGAATTGTTCAGAAAAGAGGGAGTGTGTCAGCCAGCGTGTATGCTGTGTGTGTGTGCATGCACGGTTCTCACCATCAGCCGCTGTGCGCGAGGAGGCAGGCGCGCACACGTCCGTGCGTCTCTCTTGCCAGACGGAGCCACAACTGGGTCCGGAAGCCCCTCCTGCAGCGCCCACCCGCCCGCCTAACATGTTTCTTCCGGCCAGGGGGGCTGTTGCTCCTGCAGCCCACTCATGTGGCCCAGCTCTTGGGCTGGACAAACTCGCCAGGTTTGGATGCTGGACGATTCCTGGCTGCAGCCTTCCTAAACGCACTTTGCGCTTTAAGGACCAGATAGCTTGAGAAATCCAACACGTACGTCTTGACCGCTGGAAATGTTTTGGTCGCCTCCACATTCTGATAGAGCAGCAAGTCCATCTTCTCTTCGCCAACACCGTGGAAGAAGTGGTGACCAGTCCACTGACCAAATTCACAGACGACAGTAAAATGGGCAGTGAGGGGCAGGTGCTCCGGATCCGGCAGGACCTGGGCAGACTATGGAAGTGACCGGGGGACAACGGGATGGCGTTCCATGTGGATAAGTGCGAGGCCTTGCCCTTGGGGCATGGGAATGGGTGTCAGAAGTACAGGTTAGGGGACAAGTGGCTGGAGAGCAGCTCTTGGGAAAGGGACCTCGGGGTGCTGGTCGCCTGCAGGCTGAACCTGAGCCAGCCGTGAGATGCGGTGGCCGAGAGGGCGAACGGCACCCTTGGTTGCACAGCCAGAAGCGTGGCTTCTAGATCGAGAGGGGTGTTGCTGCCACTCTACACGACTTTGGTGCGCCCGCGACTGGAGTCTTGTGCTCAGTTCTGGGCCCCTCGTTACAGGAAGGATCTAGCCAGGTTGGAGTCAGTGCAGCGAAGGGCCACAAGGTTGGCGGCCGGTTTGCAGGGGATGCCGTATGAGGCGCGGAGGGGATCTGCTGGCGACATGCAGGCATGTGAGGGGGTGTCACATGGAGGCGGGCAGAGGCCTGTTCTCCCCTGCGGAGGAAGGCAGAACTTGCTCCAACAGAGCAAAGCTCAGGGAACCAAGGTTCCATTTAGATGCCAGGAAGCACTTCCTGACAGTTAGGATCCCGAGGGTGTGGAATGGGCTTCCCTGGGAGGTGCCTGAGGCCCCATTGGTGCGGGTGTCCAAGGATAGGCTGGACGTGCACATGGCGGGTATGTTGCGAGCGGAGCTGGCTGGAGCCGGGGGTCAGACTGGATGGCTTGGAAGGCCCCTTCTGCCTCGCTGTTTCTATATTTCTCTGAGCGGAGCCTGGGGGAGCCAGTGTCAGATGACATGGCCTGGGAGGCCCCTTCTGACATCCCTGGTGTTTATGTTTCTATGAGCGGAGGTGGGTGGAGCCGGGGATCAGACTGGATGACCCAGGAGGCCGTGGGTCGGCATGCCATGAACACTCTGAACACTCTTTTCTTTCCATTGCCCCCAAAGTGCACTCTTTTAACATATAAACAACATAACATACATTTTCTGGTCTCCCACTGAGCAGTTATCACAACATGTTTAAGTTCTTGTAAACCACTTGGAACGCCACCTGCCCCTCTGCCCCATCCGTGTCCGCCCACCTGCCCCTCTGGCTTGGCTGGATAGTTGGATCCCCAAATACTTGCACGCCGTATCCGGGTGCTGTAGGCCCTAGCAGTCCTCTTGAGGAACAGGCATGCCCAGAGTTTGCCTTGTGCCCAGCTGGGTGGGGCCACACTCCCTCAGACGCCGTCTCCGGACACCCATCACGGCCGCGGAGGATTTCGCCACACGCTGCGTTAATGCTGGATTAGTCCCAGACGGCGGTATGTGGATCGATGGTTCCCCTTGGACGGGAGGTGATTCTTCAGGGGGAAGTGACTGCAGCGCTAACGTTCCCATGGAATTTGCACCCAGCAGGATGAGCCCTGCAGCTCCCGGCTGTCCCACCCCACGGGGGCAGAGGCGCCCTGGCCCGGGGATCCCTTTCACTGTCCCCCCAAAATGCACGGGGTTCTGTTCAGGAGGGCCAAGGTAAAAGCCCTTCTGTGATTGTGCAGTTCCTGTTGTTCGAGGTGGGTGAGCTCTTGCAACTGCCCGTGGTCCCCGCGAGAGAGTATTGCGGGCGGCTCCTGGGTCGGTTTGTCTCTCAGGGTCTGCTCTGTGCTGCTTGATGGAGTCCCTTGAAGGTTCGAAGCCCATAGTAGAGTCCGTAGGGGACGGTCCAAGAGAGGGGTTTTCTGCTCGATGGATTTGATCCAGTGTGACTAAAAATCGTCTGGCAACGGAGGAAAACTCAAGGAGCCAAGGTTCACTTTGGATGCCAGGATGTACTTCCTGACGGTTAGGACCTGAGGGTCTGGAGTGGGCGTCCCCAGGAGGTGGTTGAGGCCCCATCGGTGAGGGTGTCCAAGGACAGGCTGGGCATGTACCTGGTAGGCATGTCATGAGTGGGGCTGCCTGGAGCCGGGGGGGTCAGACTAGATGGCCTGGGAGGCCCCTTCTGACTTGCCCTGTATCTAGGTGGGATGCTTCTATGTTAGTGGATCAAGGCCAATTGGAAAGGATCTCAATCTGAGCCTTTGGGCATGGACAGCCCCCCCCCCCCCGATCCTAGCTTCACTTTTGATCTGACCGGTCTCTCATCTTACCTTGATACTGGGGACCTCCCTGGGAACACCCAATATTATCCTCGGAAACCTTAATTGAACATGTAGCAGGACGTGGGTATTCGGGAAAGGCCCCAGCTGAGATCCACGCAGTAGCTGAGCTGGCACTTCTGCGTGGTGCGGCTGGAGGGCTGGGGGGATATAGCGGCCACCCCTAGATCTCCTGAACTGTATCGTGGCTGACGAGCATCTCTGGGCATTTGGCACCACATTTGGCCATGGGCCTGCCTTGAGCCCTTTGCTTGCTGGAGCACCGGAATATTTGAATTGAGAAACCCGCTCGGCCTTGTGCTGATTTATCTTCCATGGTCGAGTTTTTGGTCTTTTTGCAAAGCTCATGATTTTTGTTTCTTTATGCTAAATTGCCCTTCTTTGCAATATTCAGTCAGCTTCCACGGTGCTCTTGGGAGCCTGAGCAGAGCCCTCGAAGTGAGAGCTGCCTCATCGGCATATCCTAGTATAGTATAGACCCACATTTTTTGATATTTAAGGCTTGTGTTTAGCCTGCAGTCAACTGACAGCCCGAGATCCCTTTCACAAGTGCTGCTCTCCAGCCACTTGTCCCCTAACCTGTACTTATGACACCTATTCCTATGCCCCAAGTGCAAGACCGAGCACTTGTCCACATTGAACGCCACACTGTTGTCTCCTGCCCACTTCCGTAGTCTGCTCAGATCCTTCTGGATCTGGAGTACCTGCTCCTCAGTTGAGGCCACTGCCCCCGTTTAAGTATCGTCTGCGAATTTGATCAGCAGACTGGCCACCCCTTCTTCCATGTCGTTAATGAAAAGATTGAACAGGACCGGCCCCAGGACAGAGCCCTGGGGGACCCGCTTGTCACTGGCCGCCATCCCGATGATTCCCCGCTAATGGTGACCCTCTGCCTTCGGTCAGTCCGCCATGCCCGAATCCACCGGGCAGTGCTTTGGTGCATCCCAACACTCCCCAGTTTCTCCGCCAGGATATCTTTGTCAAAGGCCTTGCTGAGATCCAGGGAAACCACATCCACCGCGTCCCCTCCGTCCAGCCACCTCGAAACCTTGTCCTAGAACCCCACAAGGTTTGTCTGGCGGGACCTGTTTTTGCGGAAGCCGTGTTGTGTGGCTGCCAGCCTCCCTTCCCTGTCTAGCATCACTAGATCTCTTGCTATTATGAGCCTTTCCATAGTTTTTCCTACAGTGGACGCAAGGCTAACTGGTCTGTAATTCCCCATGTCCTTTCTACTACCTTTTTGAAAACTGGGACCACTGACGCCACCCTCCAGCCCTCTGGAACGTCACCCGTTCTCCACGAGGCCTCAAGAATGGGGGCCAGCGGGCGCGAGAGGACCCCTGCCAAGTGTCCATGGGCAGTAAGCTGAGCTTCTGAAGCCTCCATGCTTCCTGGGTGTCCACAGCCAAAGCCCACATGTAATGAGGTTCAACACCAGAGCTAATTATACTGACCTGCCTGTGAAATGGGAGAGATGGCCAGTGTCTGTGAGAATTTCGGCCGAACTTACCATCTCTCCTGCCCAGGATAAAGGGTCAAAAACCCACAATCCCACCTTCGTTGCCAAATTGACAAAATCCCAGAATTTCAATTTGTGGGGAGGAAATAAAACTCAGGTTCGTGGGAAAGATCAAGAGTTTAGACCATCAGCTGCTTTATTGTTTAGCCCAGGTTCCCCGCGGGTCCATACTCACGATAATGCATTACCGGGCAGGCAGAGGGGGACTCGACTGCAAAGTTTCAATACAAGAACAGGGCATTTTATACCCTCCCGGTCACATACGCAGGTACAGGGCAAGTGATGGCAGAATGCAGAGATTGCAATAAAAATCTGAGGTGATCAGCCAATCATACATACAGTGACATGGAGGTCACAATATTTCTAATTGCAGTGTACTGACCCTTCAGTTGCGTAACTTCCAGAGACTTGAACCCATCTCCGGGTCTGCTGAGGCATGGAAATTCAGGCGACTGAGAAACCATCATGACCTCATAAGCTCATGCAGACTCAGACCCTGCGTGATGCATCCGCACCATTCTGAGTGGCCGGGGCGCATGGAGCCCTCTGGGCTCGCAAAATAGATACCGTGTTTTTCGCTCTATAAGACGCACCTGACCATAAGACGCACCTAGTTTTTAGAGGAGGGACCCATGGAAAGCTTCCTGATAATCACAGGCACATTCCCCATCACTTCCCCATGGGCTTCATTAAAAGACGTGTTGCCATTTGAAAACACACACCGACCTGTGATTAACAGCTCTCACCTGCGCCAGAGGAGGGGGGGCGGAGCATGGCGCGCTGAGCGTGTGCCGGCCAGGTGTGGTGCAGCCGGGCCGGCAGCGTGCC